TAGACAACAGCACCCAGCAACTTAGATTCTTCTCCTAATTGCCATCTGACAAAAGATCTTGCACATTTTTCCCCAAATGTAAATGTGGAAGGATATTACAAATAACTAATCACCACAGTCTTGTGTTTTAAAACTACTGATGCTCATGGCAGCTTGTACTTTCCACTGATTTTTGCACAACATGGTATGATATTCCCTCCCTCTTCTAGGGAAGCCTGAGACTCAGCAACTCAAGCTGTGGCCCATATGACTAACAAATGAAGTCGCTGCATATAAAGCAAAAGATGACATGTCTGCTTGTAATTGTAAATCAGGCTTGGAACTTTAGGAATTACTATGATTCCCAGAAATCCAAGGTGAAGGATCATCATTTTATCTCAGAGTAGTTTCACTTGCAGATGTTCATTACTGGGAGGCAGTAAAATTAGTAAATATCAGTTAAGTGACTAGTTTTAATGTAAAACCGTAACTAGAGGTCACATACAGAGCTATACAAGAACCACCTATGTTAAAAATTTTCCTGTTTTAGCTTTACACCTACGACTTTACAGTTTGAGGGTTTTTTACCACCTTAAATAAAAGGCTTTTGCTTTATAGGAAGCTACAACTGTGTCAAAGCAAGCTGTGAACCCTTGCAGCACAATAACACATTCAATTTACTTGAGTGTTTGAGAGTTGACCAATGAAAAAAGAATCAAGCAGGAACCCCATGAAAACAGTATATGCTACCTCAAATATCAATTTTGAAACTGTCAGCCATTTTACCTTTAGATATGATAATTCTAAAGGCTGTCACTGTTTTTTACCTGCCTGTGGCATGCACTGGCTTCAAAACAAATAAACTCTATATAAAACTTAATCAGGAATAGAAGAAAAAATTTCCTGGGATACAGCTCCAGTAACACAATTTAGAAATATTTGTCATCCTTTCTTGGGAAAAGGATGTGGCAAGCAAGTCACTCTTTACAGTTGACAATAACCACATGAATGACTTCTACTTTATTGATATATAAAGGAAAATCCTGCAACCATACCTAATGATAGCTGCAGTTGATGAGCTTATAAAAGAGTAAAGTCCTCAAGCCCTAGCATATTCACCTAAGAATTCTCTCCTTTCCTGTTATGATGGTATTATTCCTGTGCATATATGGACAAAGCAAGGTAGGGCTTGCAAGGTAAGACTAAGGAAGAAATACTATTCAAGTAGTAGTAGTAACAATATAGTCTTGTCAAGAGTTCCAACACAAAACATGTTTAATACACAAAGTATCTGACGATCATTCTCCTTAATATGTGACAGTGGAAGAAGTGGGGTGCAGGAGGGTTTGAATTTACAAGAAAGTCTGAAGTTAAATTGAAAGGCAGAAAAAGCCAGATCAGTCAAGTGTCCATATCTCACTTGCTTACCTGCCTGGGCTACATGTGGGTCAAAGAGCAGACAAGGGTAGGCAACTGAACTCTACTGGACTGTTCATACGAGAAAGTGCTGCACCCACACTGCTACTTTTTCTTGTGGGAAATTCCGCTTAGGCTATAGTACTTATCACTGAAAAAAAACTTGATAGGAGATAAATTGCAAGATCCCTTGTATTTGTACATAGAAAAATGGGAATAGCTTTAAGGAACAAGCCACTACTTTGTTCTGCATATGCAGCTACCACCCCTCCTAGCAGACATGCCTAGAGGAGGTTTTCCCTCTAGTCATCTTGTTTCTGTTGGGAAAAGATCAAGAAATTGTTCATCATGCCATTCTTCTCCCTTTTCCTGAGGCTAGCCACATATCTAAATCATAATAATGACTCTGTCCCAGAACATATGAGATGCTAACTTAAGCATGGATAGGGGGCAGAGGCAGTGCAGGGAACTGTCAAGAGGAGGGGAAAAAAAAATGCTGTCTTCATTCTTGGCTAAACAGGAAACTTTTTCAACATTTTTGTCCTCTCTAAAGTCTTGTACACCACTGCAGGCTTGATTGTGAAATATAGAGAAGAGGTAATTGTGTAGAGTTGCAGGTTGCTATACTAAATACACATCTACATGATTTTGACACACCTGTTTGTCAGATTGTTTTCCTAGGACCTTGCAGAAGCAATCTTGGCAGAAGTGGCTCCCGTGCTTTGCAGTGTG